TTCATTTTGTCCATTTTTTCGTCCATTTTCCTACTGTTGTCGCTCATTTCATCCATCATTTTCCTACTGTTGTCTTCCATTTTGTCATTCATTCTGTTAATTTTTTCGTCCATTTTCCTACTGTTGTCACTCATTTTGTCCATTTTTTTATCCATTTTCCTACTGTTGTCTTCCATTTTGTCATTCATTCTGTCAATTTTTTCGTCCATTTTCCTACTGTTGTCGCTCATTTCGTCTTTCATCTGCATGAGCAGTGCAATCAAACTGGGGTTCTCCATTGCAGGGTCTTCCTTCTTTGATTTACTTCTTGTTTCCATCAAAATTCAACTTGGATTCTGGTAAATCCCACTTCTGACACCAAATGTACCGTGAATGGCCGAGTATCAAACTATTTCTTCTGCTTCCAACTTTTATTTACCTTAATATAACTTTAAATACGGAACAGGAACAAACTAACTTTAAAATTACCGTCAACTTCACAAACAATACCTATAACAGACGCAAAACTCGATCTTCCAAATCGCGGGGAGTAACCTCTTCTGCACCCGGTCGCTGCTGTCACTTCACTTACTTTTGTCTGGTTCTCGTCGTCGCTTATATAGTTTCCTCCAGGTAACCCAGATGGTTCTTGAAATCTCCAGAACAGGTGCGAAACTTCCCGCTTGTCAGTGTCATATTTGACAGTAAATGGGGCCCAAATGGGGCTCATTTACTCTCATTTTTAAGTATTTACTGATGTAATTTTTCAACAACAAGAGTTACTTACAACTAATCTAAAACTAATTAAATCGATAATAAATAAATTAAAATATAACTTATAACTACGGACTAAAAATCTAAATTAACATTTTCAGCATTTTTGCCGTTATCGCAATGATGTGTGACTGTGAGATTAAACACAAATCTTTATCTAAAAAACTGCACTTATTATTTTATATTCCTTACATGTTCCCGCTCTGTGGCTTTTGCCCTTTCATTTTGTTCTCGATCAATTAAGTGTTTTGCAATATGCTATTAACAAAAATTCTATAGGCAATTACTGTTGGGAACCCGAACGGTTTGTTCAATTTCCCGTTTATTTATTTAATTTAAAATAAATATCAAAATGTTTTATACACTTTTATTTAATTTATGAAATAAA